TGCCAGAATGTTGCCGTACCCCACCACCTTACCAACCGCTAAGACACACTCCTCTACACTCACGTTACACACAATCCTCACGCCATGCCGGCGTGTTAAAGATTCATACACGCTATCACCCGGACTCGCCATGCTTTCAGCGCCAAGTGTGCCGAATGCAGGCTCACCCCTCACGCACACACACACGCACCCAAACACCTACACACACTTCCACAACCACATAACACCTAAAACATCCACTCGTAATTTTTAACAAAACACACTTAAGAAAAAAGTTTTGAAAATCGCTCGCGAAACCGCTCACGACGCTCCACTCGCTCCTTCGCACCCGCGCATGCGCAGAGAGAGAGAGAGAGAGAGACAGAGAGAGAGAATTTGAATTTCAAAGACCCTTTATTACAAAATTTGAAACATTGCCCAGTCAATCAACACATTATTAACAAGTGAAAAGCAATTCTCTTAAAAAGGTTGCAAAAAACAGGTTGTCTTCAATAACCTCACACAAAGTACCTTTATAGCACCAAATCAAATCAAAAGAAACAAGATCATTCATGGCTTTAAAATATCGAAAATCAATTAAAATTCTTGATTTCACTGAATTAAAAAACACTGCCTCTAAATTACAACTCACGTTTTGTTCAATTTTGTGTTTTCTAGTATTATAAATTGCAATTTTAGCTTGGCCTAGCAAAAAGTTCAAAAGTTGACACTCATACTGGTGTCTCCGAACATATTTAAAACCACAAATAAAAATTCCAACAGAAAAGGTTTCTCGAAAACAAACAAATAAATTCTGTAAAACAAAGGCTTTAGCCTGACACATTGCATAAATGCATGGAACAGTTTCTCTCTGATAACAAAATGGGCAATCATGATCAACACCAGGATTTAAAACCGAAATAAAAGTATTGACTGCAACTGCACCATGTAAGATTCTCCACTGTAAATCTCCAACTTTCTTAGTTAATGGTGACTTATATAGAGCTCTCCATTCTGATTTTGTGCCCTCCTTCATCTGGAGAACAGTATGCCAAGGAGTATCCACCCTCTTATGTAAAGCACTCTTATTCAAAGATTTCGCACAATTTTTGTACAATGCTTTTCCAGAGGCCGGTTCTGAACCGATTAATGTCAAGTTTTTAGAACACACACACAAAAAAAAAAAAACACCTTTACACTCTTCTAAATTAGGTGATAAGAACAGATTAGGAAAGGCATCTCTGGAGTTCAGAATGATCAATCCCTCGGCATAGTCCTCCAGCATTTTGAATTCATCCACTGTGAGAGCAGACCTCCACTTTTCAAGAAGTTTAGCCGCTATGTGTGTTGAATGAATACCCAAATGTCCAGCTACTGAGTCAATATTCCTGAAGTCTTTTCCTGCTAGCCGCGATAGATGTCCAAGGGTCATCACTCCAGAAGAGAGAAGAATTCCATCAAGAGCAGGGAGAGGGCCTTCACAAGATATATCCAAGCGAGAACCATAAATTAAAGGTTCTTGTAACACCCAATGCAAGGAACTTGTATTACTGAGTCTTTGCACTGTAAATAAAGTCCAAACTTTAAAAAGGTT